TGAAGTTTTACATTGCAATGGATTTAAAAAAAAATCAGTGAATTTATATAAAATTATAGGGGGTCTGATTTTTTGATTTTTAAATGTAGGAAAATCATCCTTAAAGTTTTGACAAATAAATTTGAGTAAAATCTCTTGAATTTTTCCAACCCCTAATATTTTTTTGAAATATTTTTTGAAGACAGGTGGTATTTTTAAAAAAATAAAATATGGGGAACTTGCGTAGTCATGTATAGGAGTTTTTTGAATCGGCCATGGCCCTATGGCCTATGTAACTGTCTATATAAAATTATTTAAATAAGTAAATAAAAAATAAATTAAAAAATATTTATTAAAAATTTCACTTCAAATCGCATACCAACAAATGTGGTCATTTTGCCAATGAATTCTAAAAATACATATTTTTTTTATTTTCTTAATTTACACATTTTGCTCTAACCACGGGCCACAGTTGCGTTCATTCGTAACACTCCATGCGGCAGCCTCCCAAATTAAAACCGACTCAAAACATAAGAAATACAAACTCCATTTGCTACCGATACATTTCTTCTGCAATAACAAAAATACCCAACATCAATTGGAATACAATTTTGAGTGGAGCTAAATTTAGAAGACGGTCTGGCAAAAAAAAAATTGGAGAAAAAAAATCAAAATAAAATTTGAATCACATCAAAGTCAGACTTAAACAAAAAATTGAAATTCGCATCCAAGATGAGATGCTGTGAAACCCCACACTCTCCCCACCCCCGCTTCTTGTGTTCATGACTTCATGTTTGAATTTTGTTTTTTTATTCTCGATTTGTTGACATTCGTTGTTGTTGTTCCGTTCAAAGAATATTTGATTTAATTAACATATCTATGTTATTTATGCCATTTTTTGTTTTTATTTTTTTTTTTCGTTTTCTTAAATAGATTTCGTTTTTTGTTTTTGCGTCCTCAGACAAGCAGAGTTTTTTGGAATAAGTGTTAGAAATTGTTATATGATGTACTTAAAAAAAAACTGTGAAATTTTGTGGCTCATAAACAGGGAAAAATATATTGGATATAAAATTGGATACAGAGCAGTAATTATGTAAGGTGATTATTTTTATTGGCCGAAGAAAGTTTTGTTCTAGAAAGAAAATAATTTTTTAAAGGGATAATAAAAGCATGAGAAATATTATTTTAATAGCACATATTTTCTAGATAGAGCAAAAAATATATAAAAATTTGAAATTGGAAAAATATTTTTAAAAAATCCACGATTTCGAGGGGTATTGGAGAAACCATTTTTGAAAAGGAAAAAAAACGTGTTTTCAAAAATATTTTTTCAAAGAAAAACAGAGGCATGGATTTTTTAAAAATATTTTTTCAGGGAAAAACAATGGCGTGGATTTTTTAAAAAATATTTTTCAAGGAAAAACAATGGCATGGATTTTTTTTAAATATATTTTTAGGGAAATACAGAGACGTGGAATTTAAAAAAAAATATATTTTTTCAATGAAAAACAAAGCCGTGGATTTTTTAAAAATATTTTTTTTTTCAAGGAAAACCAAGGCGTGGAGTTTTTAAAAATATTTTTTCAAGGAAAAACAAAGGCATGAATTTTTTAAAAATATTTTTTCAAGGCCACAACAAAAGCGTGGATTTTTTAAAAATATTTTTTCAAGGCCACAACAAAGGCGTGGATTTTTTAAAAATATTTTTTCAAGGCCACAACAAAGGCGTGGATTTTTTAAAAATATTTTTTCAAGGCCACAACAAAGGCGTGGATTTTTTAAAAATATTTTTTCAAGGCCACAACAAAGGCGTGGATTTTTTAAAAATATATTTTTAGGGAAAGATTTTTTAAAAATATTTTTTCAAGGAAAAACAAAGACTAGGATTTTTTAAAAATATTTTTTCAAGGAAAAACAAAGACGTGGATTTTTTAAAAATATTTTTTCAAGGAAAAACAAAGGCGTGGATTTTTTAAAAATATTTTTTCAAGGAAAAACAAAGGCGTGGATTTTTTAAAAATATTTTTTCAAGGAAAAACAAAGGCGTGGATTTTTTAAAAATATTTTTTCAAGGAAAAACAAAGGCGTGGAATTTTTAAAAATATTTTTTTCAAGGAACACCAAAAGGCGTGGATTTTGTAAAAATATTTTTTTTAAGGAAAACCAAAAGCGTGGATTTTTTAAAAATATTTTTTCAAGGAAAAACAAAGGTGTGGAATTTTTAAAAAAATATTTTTTCAAGGAAAAACAAAGGCGTGGATTTTTTAAACATTTTTTTCAAGGAAAAACAAAGGCGTGGATTTTTTAAACATTTTTTTCAAGGAAAAACAAAGGCATGGATTTTTTAAAAAAAATTTTAAAGGAAAGACAAAGGCGTGGATTTTTTAAAAAAAAAATTTTCAAGGAAAGACAAAGGCGTGGATTTTTTAAAAAAAAATTTTCAAGGAAAGACAAAGGCGTGGATTTTTTAAAAAAAAAATTTTCAAGGAAAGACAAAGGCGTGGATTTTTTAAAAATATTTTTTAAAAGAAAACCAAAGGCGTGGATTTTTTAAAAATATTTTTTCAAGGCCACAACAAAGGCGTGGATTTTTTAAAAATATTTTTTCAAGGCCACAACAAAGGCGTGGATTTTTTAAAAATATTTTTTCAAGGCCACAACAAAGGCGTGGATTTTTTAAAAATATTTTTTCAAGGAAAAACAAAGGCGTGGATTTTTTAAAAATATTTTTTCAAGGAAAAACAAAGACGTGGATTTTTTAAAAATATTTTTTCAAGGAAAAACAAAGGCGTGGATTTTTTAAAAATATTTTTTCAAGGAAAAACAAAGACGTGGATTTTTTAAAAATATTTTTTCAAGGAAAAACCAAGGCGTGGATTTTTTAAAAATATTTTTTCAAGGAAAAACAAAGACGTGGATTTTTTAAAAATATTTTTTCAAGGAAAAACAAAGGCGTGGATTTTTTAAAAATATTTTTTCAAGGAAAAACAAAGGCGTGGATTTTTTAAAAATAGTTTTTCAAGGAAAAACAAAGGCGTGGATTTTTTAAAAATATTTTTTCAAGGAAAAACAAAGGCGTGGATTTTTTAAAAATATTTTTTCAAGGAAAAACAAAGGCGTGGATTTTTTAAAAATAGTTTTTTTTTCAAGGAAAACCAAGGCGTGGAGTTTTTAAAAATATTTTTTCAAGGAAAAACAAAGGCGTGGATTTTTTAAAAATATTTTTCAAGGCAAAAATAAAGGCGTGGATTTTTTAAAAATATTTTTTCAAGGCAAAAATAGAGGCGTGGATTTTTTAAAAATATTTTTTCAAGGAAAAACAAAGGCGTGGATTTTTTAAAAATATTTTTTCAAGGAAAAACAAAGGCGTGGATTTTTTAAAAATATTTTTTCAAGGAAAAACAAAGGCGTGGATTTTTTAAAAATATTTTTTCAAGGAAAAACAAAGGCGTGGATTTTAATTTTTCAAGAAAACAAAGGCGTGGATTTTTAAATATTTCAAGGAAAAACAAAGGCGTGGATTTTTTAAAAATATTTTTTCAAGGAAAAACAAAGGCGTGGATTTTTTAAAAATATTTTTTCAAGGAAAAACAAAGGCGTGGATTTTTTAAAAATATTTTTTCAAGGAAAAACAAAGGCGTGGATTTTTTAAAAATATTTTTTCAAGGAAAAACAAAGGCGTGGATTTTTTAAAAATATTTTTTCAAGGAAAAACAAAGGCGTGGATTTTTTAAAAATATTTTTTCAAGGAAAAACAAAGGCGTGGATTTTTTAAAAATATTTTTTCAAGGAAAAACAAAGGCGTGGATTTTTTAAAAATATTTTTTCAAGGAAAAACAAAGGCGTGGATTTTTTAAAAATATTTTTTCAAGGAAAAACAAAGGCGTGGATTTTTTAAAAATATTTTTTCAAGGAAAAACAAAGGCGGGAATTTAAAAAAAAAAATAAAATATTTTTTCAAGGAAAAACAAAGGCGTGGATTTACAAAAAAAAAAAAAATTAAAATATTTTTTTCAAGGAAAAACAAAGGCGTGGATTTACAAAAAAAAATTAAAATATTTTTTCAAGGAAAAACAAAGGCGTGGATTTACAAAAAAAAATTAAAATATTTTTTCAAGGAAAAACAAAGGCGTGGATTTACAAAAAAAAAATTAAAATATTTTTTCAAGGAAAAAAAAAGGCGTGGATTTAAAAAAAAATAAAATATTTTTTCAAGGAAAAACAAAGGCGTGGATTTTTTAAAAATATTTTTTCAAGTATTACTGAAGACGTGGATTTAAAAGAAATATATTTTTTCAAGTATTACTGAGGACGTGGATTTAAAAGAAATATATTTTTTCAAGTATTACTGAGGACGTGGATTTTTTAAAAAGTATTTTTTCAAGTATTACTGAGGACGTGGATTTTTTAAAAAATATTTTTTAAAGTATTACTGAGGACGTGGATTTTTTAAAAAGTATTTTTTCAAGTATTATTGAGGACGTGGATTTTTTAAAAAATATTTTTTAAAGTATTATTGAGGACGTGGATTTTTTAAAAAATATTTTTTCAAGTATTACTGAGGACATGGACTTTTTAAAAAATATTTTTTCAAGTATTACTGAGGACATGGACTTTTTAAAAAATATTTTTTCAAGTATTTCTGAGGACGTGGATTTTTTTTTAAAATATTTTTTCAAGTAATACAGAGGACGTGGATTTTTTAATAAATATTTTTTCAAGTATTACTGATGACGTGGATTTTTTAAAAAAATATTTTTTCAAGTACTACTGATGACGTTGATTTTTTAAAAAATATTTTTCCAAGTATTACTGATGACGTGGATTTTTTAAAAAATATTTTTTCAAGTATTACTGACGACGTGGATTTTTTAAAAAAATATTTTTTCAAGTAATACAGAGCACGTGGATTTTTTAAAAAAATATTTTTTCAAGTATTGCTGAGGACGTTGATTTTTTAAATTTTTTTTTTTAAACAAATTAAAATTAAATTCCCCTTTCGTTTTTTTGTTTTCTTCCAGATGTTGCTCCTCATAATCTTCTTCTAATTAAGGATCCTCCCCTCCCGAAAATCTCTCCGTCCATTTTTTGTGTGAAAAACAGCCCCCGTTCAAATGGCCACCAAATCTGTAAGTCCCACAAAAACCATCGTTGCCGCCGTTAGCGATTTAATGGAAGAATCTCGTAAATTTAAAGAAAATCTAGAAATACAAAAACAGGCCAACAAGGATCATGGCCTCAGCATATATGCCGAACCTCCCTCACGCACACCACTCTCCACTTCGATAAACACCCTACAAGTTCCACAAATGAAAAAATTACCAAGTGCCGAACCCATGCCAGATGCCCAATTGCTGGAGGGGACCGCTCAACGTCAACCCAAATTGGGCGTCTCGCGGTCTCAGGATGATGATAAGGAAATGGACGAAGAGCAGACATATGGACGGGTTACCCCCATTTCCTATGCCTCGGCAATTGCTGGGGTACCACCACCCGCACCCTCTGCCCGCAGCAGTGGCCTGAGTTCGGTGGGGGCCTCAAGGGCAACTAATTTTCGCATGAAATTTCGCAAAAGCCATACCTGTGGCAGTCTCTTCGCGAAATGTAACTGTGCTGAGGTAACCACGATGACAACAACGACAACGCCAGCCATGCGACCCGCAAATCCCCCCATCCGAACGGGACAAATCACCAACTCACGTGCCATATCAATTGATAAGAATTTAAATGCCGCCACAACAACGGCAACCGTACATAATTACCAGCCCCCGCAGCAGCAATGTATGCATCTATCGATATCACCCTCCTCCAATACGGACACCTCCCTCGCCTCATCCCTCTCCGATGCGGCGGGCAACAAACTAACCAGCTCGGGTATCTATTCTCTGTCCACACAAACATCATCCGCCACCTCAGCTTATCTGTCGCGCGAAGAGAGTCTTACGGCAAGCTTTGATACTCATCTACTCTCACCCTCTTCAGCCACAGAGATGTCTAGCGCTGGCGAAACTGGCAAAAGCTCAGCCGCAGTGCCAGCAACAAATTCGAGTTCTTCAACGCTTGCCAAACAAGCCATTAGTCCCGATACAGAGCTCGCGTCGTTAGCACGTTCTAAAGGCCAGCCAATACCGCGAATCTCTTCACCGCCAACGGTCTTCGACAATTCAGTCTCGTCGTCCAGATCATCGCCGCTCACAGTGGTGTCGCGTAAATCGGACGCTGTACAAAAATCGAAAAAACTTTTCCAATCCTATTCTCATCCCGATACCGATTTCATTTTCACCGATGAAAACAAACATCCCTCGAGGGAGTCGCTACAACATCTCCTGAGTCCACAACAACAGAGTCAAGAAACCATCATCACCTCCCGAGGGGGTCGTGTTGAAATAAAACAACCCAAAAGATCTTCCTCGCCAAATATTGGCCACTATCAGGTCTTGGATGTTGCTGTGCATCCGGATATTCTGGTGAAGATTTCCCCCAAACATTCACCCCTCTGTGAACCGCGACGGCCACACGAATCACCCTTGGCCGCCAGGTCAACTCAGCAAAGGCGAAGGCTACTGCAACGTTCCCATGAAATTGATTCGGGTGGATCAACATCTGAATCGGAAAAATCGGTAGAAGTTAAATCGCCCACGGACCTAAAGTCGCCACTTAGTGGGAAGACCCAACTGGCAAGTCCTTTGCTGGCCTCAAAACGTCTGCCCCTACAGGGCTCGGTGTCCTCATCGACCTCGGATGATTCTTCATTTAATGCTGCTCAAAAATATTTTGCTGAAAGTGGGATATTGGGACCGGTGCCCAGTTCAGCAACCAGTTTGATAAGGAAGACATCGAAGATATTGCAGGACTCAAATGTCATTGAACAGGTGAGTGAAAAAAATAATTTTGGAAAATATTGTTCAAAGGAAAAACGAGGACGTGGATTTAATAAAAATATTTTTTCAAAGAAAAACAAAGACTTGGATTTTTTAAAAATATTTTTTCAAAGAAAAACAAAGGCGTGGATTTTGTAAAAAATATTTTTTTAAGTATTACCAAGAACGTCGATTTGTTTAAAAATATTTTTTCAAGTATTACTAAAGGCGGGGATTTTTTAAAAATATTTTTTCAAGTATTTCTAAAGGCTTGTATTTTTTAAAAAGTATTTTTTCAAGTATCGCTAAAAACGTGGATTTTTTAAAAAATATTTTTTCAAGTATTACAGAAGGCGTGGATTTTTTAAAAAATATTTTTTCAAGTATCGCTAAAAGCGTGGATTTTTTAAAAAATATTTTTTCAAGTATCGCTAAAAGCGTGGATTTTTTAAAAAAATATTTTTTCAAGTATTACTGACGGCGCGGATTTTTTAAAAAAATATTTTTTCAAGTATTACTACAGGCGTGGATTTTTTAAAAAATATTTTTTCAAGTATTACTAAAGGCGTGGATTTTTAAAAAAAATATTTTTTCAAGTATTACTAAAGTCGTGGATTTTTTAAAAATATTTTTTCAAGTATTACTAAAGGCGTAGATTTTTTATAAAACATTTTTTCAAGTATTACTAAAGGCGTGGATTTTTTAAAAAATATTTTTTAAGAATTACTGAAGTCGTATATTTTTCATAAAATATTTTTTCAAGTATTACTAATGGCGTGGATTTTTTAAAAAATATTTTTTCAAGTATTACTACAGGCGTGGATTTTTTAAAAAATATTTTTTCAAGTATTACTAAAAGCGTGGATTTTTTAAAAAATATTTTTTCAAGTATTACTAAAGTCGTGGATTTTTTAAAAATATTTTTTCGAGTATTACTAAAGTCGTGGATTTTTTAAAAATATTTTTTCGGGTATTACTAAAGGCGTGGATTTTTTAAAAAATATTTTTTTAAGAATTACTGAAGGCGTATATTTTTCATAAAACATTTTTTCAAGTATTAGTAATGGCGTGGATTTTTTAAAAAATATTTTTTCAAGTATTACTAAAGGCTTGGATTTTTTAAAAAATATGTTTTCAAGTATTACTAAAAGCGTGGATTTTTTAAAAAATATTTTTTCAAGTATTACTAAGGGGGTGGATTTTTTAAAAAAATATTTTTTCAAGTATTACTAAAGGCGTGGATTTTTTATAAAAATATTTTTTCAAGTATTACTAAAGGCGTGGATTTTTTATAAAAATATTTTTTCAAGTATTACTAAAGGCGTGGATTTTTTATAAAAATATTTTTTCAAGTATTACTAAAGGCGTGGATTTTTTATAAAAATATTTTTTCAAGTATTACTAAAGGCGTGGATTTTTTATAAAAATATTTTTTCAAGTATTACTAAAGGCGTGGATTTTTTATAAAAATATTTTTTCAAGTATTACTAAAGGCGTGGATTTTTTATAAAAATATTTTTTCAAGTATTACTAAAGGCGTGGATTTTTTATAAAAATATTTTTTCAAGTATTACTAAAGGCGTGGATTTTTTATAAAAATATTTTTTCAAGTATTACTAAAGGCGTGGATTTTTTATAAAAATATTTTTTCAAGAATTACTAAAGGGGGGGTTTTTTTAAAAAAATATTTTTTCAAGAATTACTAAAGGGGGGGTTTTTTTAAAAAAATATTTTTTCAAGAATTAATAAAGGAGTGGATTTTTTAAAAAAATATTTTTTCAAGAATTACTAAAGGCGTGGATTTTTTAAAAATTATTTTTTCAAGAATTAATAAAGGAGTGGATTTTTTAAAAAAGATTTTTTCAAGAATTACTAAAGGCGTGGATTTTTTAAAAATTATTTTTTCAAGAATTAATAAAGGAGTGGATTTTTTAAAAATTATTTTTTCAAGAATTAATAAAGGAGTGGATTTTTTAAAAAAATATTTTTTCAAGAATTACTAAAGGCGTGGATTTTTTAAAAAATATTTTTTTCAATTATTTCCAAAGACGTGGATTTTTTAAAACAGCAATTTTTCAAAGAAAAATATAGACAACGATTAAAAAAAAATTTTTTCAAAAAAAAAAACATAGACCTTGATTTTTTAAAAAAAAAAAATTTCAAAAAAAAAACATAGACGTCGATTTTTTAAAAAATATTTTTTTTCAATTATTTCCAAAGATGTGGATTTTTTAAAACAATATTTTTTCAAGAATTACTAAAGGCGTGGATTTTTTAAAAATTATTTTTTCAAGAATTACTAAAGGCGTGGATTTTTTAAAAATTATTTTTTCAAGAATTACTAAAGGCGTGGATTTTTTAAAAATTATTTTTTCAAGAATTACTAAAGCCGTGAATTTTTTAAAAAATATTTTTTTTTTTAAATATTTCTAAAGGCGTGATTTTTTTAAAAAACATTTTTTTTTAAATATTACTTAAGGCGTGAATTTTTAAAAAAATATTTTTTTCAAGGAAAAACAAGGACGTGGATATTTAAAAAATATATTTTTTTCAAGGATATTTAAAAAAAAAATATTTTTTTCATGGAAAATTAAAAAATATTTTTTCAAGCATTACCGAGGACGTGGATTTTTTAAATAATATTTTTCCAAGCATCTCTGAGGGCGTAAACTTTTAAAAAAAAAAAAAATTCAAAGAAAATTAAAGACGTTAATTTTTAAAAATATTTTTTCAAGCATTACCGAGGACGTGGATTTTTTAATAAATATTTTTCCAAGTATTACTGAGGACGTAAACTTTAAAAAAAAAAAAATGTTCAAGGAAAATCAAAGACGTTGATCTTTAAAAAAATAGTTTAAAAAAAACAAATACGTGGATTTTTTAAAAAAAAATAATTTTTTAAAGGAAAAAAAGACGTGGATTTTTAAAAAAATAATAATTTTTAAAGAAAAACAAAGACGTGAATTTTTAAAAAAAATATTTTTTTAAAGAAAAACAAAGACGTGAATTTTTTTAAAAAGATTTTTCGAGGAAAAACAGAGACGTGGATTTTTTTAAAAATATTTTTCGAGGAAAAACAGAGACTTAGATTTTTTTTAAATTATTTTTCAAAGGTTTATAAAAAGGCTTGAATTTTTTAAAAAATATTTTTTTCAAAGAAAAAAGGCGTGGATTTTTTAAAACATATTTTTCAAAGAAAAAAGGCGTGGATTTTTTAAAACATATTTTTCAAAGAAAAAAGGCGTGGATTTTTTAAAACATATTTTTCAAAGAAAAAAGGCGTGGATTTTTTAAAACATATTTTTCAAAGAAAAAAGGCGTGGATTTTTTAAAACATATTTTTCAAAGAAAAAAGGCGTGGATTTTTTAAAACATATTTTTTCAAAGAAAAAAGGCGTGGATTTTTTAAAACATATTTTTTCAAAGAAAAAAGGCGTGGATTTTTTAAAACATATTTTTTTAAAGAAAAAAGGCGTGGATTTTTTAAAACATATTTTTTCAAAGAAAAAAGGCGTGGATTTTTTAAAACATATTTTTTCCAAGAAAAAAGGCGTGGATTTTTTAAAACATATTTTTTCAAAGAAAAAAGGCGTGGATTTTTTAAAACATATTTTTTCCAAGAAAAAAGGCGTGGATTTTTTAAAACATATTTTTTCAAAGAAAAAAGGCGTGGATTTTTTAAAACATATTTTTTCCAAGAAAAAAGGCGTGGATTTTTTAAAACATATTTTTTCCAAGAAAAAAGGCGTGGATTTTTTAAAACATATTTTTTCAAAGAAAAAAGCGTGGATTTTTTAAAACATATTTTTTCAAAGAAAAAAGCGTGGATTTTTTAAAACATATTTTTTCAAAGAAAAAAGCGTGGATTTTTTAAAACATATTTTTTCAAAGAAAAAAGCGTGGATTTTTTAAAACATATTTTTTCAAAGAAAAAAGGCGTGGATAAAACATATTTTTTCTAAGAAAAAAGGCTTGGATTTTTTAAAAAATATGTTTTCAAGTATTACTAAAAGCGTGGATTTTTTAAAAAATATTTTTTCAAGTATTACTAAGGGGGTGGATTTTTTAAAAAAATATTTTTTCAAGTATTACTAAAGGCGTGGATTTTTTATAAAAATATTTTTTCAAGTATTACTAAAGGCGTGGATTTTTTATAAAAATATTTTTTCAAGTATTACTAAAGGCGTGGATTTTTTATAAAAATATTTTTTATTTTTTTTAAATATTACTTAAGGCGTGAATTTTTAAAAAAATATTTTTTTCAAGGAAAAACAAGGACGTGGATATTTAAAAAATATTTTTTTTTCAAGGATATTTAAAAAAAAAATATTTTTTTCATGGAAAATTAAAAAATATTTTTTCAAGCATTACCGAGGACGTGGATTTTTTTCAAAGAAAAAAGCGTGGATTTTTTAAAACATATTTTTTCAAAGAAAAAAGGCGTGGATTTTTTAAAACATATTTTTTCTAAGAAAAAAGGCTTGGATTTTTTAAAAAATATGTTTTCAAGTATTACTAAAAGCGTGGATTTTTTAAAAAATATTTTTTCAAGTATTACTAAGGGGGTGGATTTTTTAAAAAAATATTTTTTCAAGTATTACTAAAGGCGTGGATTTTTTATAAAAATATTTTTTCAAGTATTACTAAAGGCGTGGATTTTTTATAAAAATATTTTTTCAAGTATTACTAAAGGCGTGGATTTTTTATAAAAATATTTTTTATTTTTTTTAAATATTACTTAAGGCGTGAATTTTTAAAAAAATATTTTTTTCAAGGAAAAACAAGGACGTGGATATTTAAAAAATATATTTTTTTCAAGGATATTTAAAAAAAAAATATTTTTTTCATGGAAAATTAAAAAATATTTTTTCAAGCATTACCGAGGACGTGGATTTTTTAAATAATATTTTTCCAAGCATCTCTGAGGGCGTAAACTTTTAAAAAAAAAAAATTCAAAGAAAATTAAAGACGTTAATTTTTAAAAATATTTTTTCAAGCATTACCGAGGACGT